GCAGTTGAGGTGCTGTGGTTGCCAGTGCCCCGGATCCACTCAAAGCACCTGCTTCTCACAGTCATTTTGGCCTTGGGGAAGAGGCAGAAGTGGGGTGGTGCCCAATCCGGCAGGAGTGCGGAGACGCAGTGCGGAGTCATCCTGAGTTGCCTCTCCGGACAGCCCTCAGCTGCAGCACTTGCTGACTGTTCCATCAGACCGGGTATCAGCCCTCCGCAAAGAGGGCTCCCAAGCTGCTTCGGGAAGGGACCAGGCGACAGCACGAGTGCCCTCAGCCAGGGAAGGCAGGAAGCTGACTAAGGGCACCATGTCTTCACTGTAACAGGCTTTCCAGTGTGATCCTTCGTGGTACATTTTGATTGTGTCCCGCAGGGCGAGGGGGCTGAGGCCACAGGAAGAGCCTGGGTTGGTGGTCATTCAGGTGGCCTGGGCCTTGTTACACGCCTGCCTGGCTGACTCCAGAGCAAAGCATCTCCTGAATGGACGCTGCCTCAAGTCAGCAGGGGCTGAGAGCATACGGAAAGTCAGGGCCTCGGGCCTCTAAATCCAGGATCTCAGAGGATAAGCACACTGATTCCTGCTCGGGTCAAATGTGAGAGGCCTCCATGACCCACAGGAAACAGGAGTGGACGGGAGGGGTGGGCGGTCCCCTGTGGAGTCGCTGCTGTCTTGGCCCCTGGGTGCCGGGGCTGGAAGGGTCAGTGTCCTTCTCTGCATGTCCAGCACAATGGCCCAGGTTTGGGCTGGCGAGGCTGCCTCTCTGGGCCTCCATCCCTGGGCGCTGGTGGCCCCCTGGCCTTCGGTGCTCTGAGTCTCCATTCCCAGCCCACGTCCCAGGACACGACACCTCCTGCTGTCTCACAGGGGGAGGGAAGGCCCACCTGGGGCCCCTCTTAGCCCAGTCAGCCCTGTGAAGCCCCTTTCTCCAACAGATGAAGGGCTGGGGCAGCCCACCCGCCATAGGGGCAGTCGGTGCCTGAGGTGACTCTCACTGCTGGTTCTGGCCAGTCCTGGCCAGTCCCGGCCGGTCCTGGCTGACCTCTGCCTCAGCCAGGGCCTCACTTGAACAAGTCTCTCCTGGTGGAGAAGTGCCTCCCCCACCTCAGCGGACGACACCCGGAAGACCAGTTCCCGCCCCGTGAGCAGACCTGGAAGGATTCCCCCAGCCAGCACTGCAGGTCCTGGCGGCTGTGCCACACTGCAGCCCAACTTCATCACCTGGAAAATGGGCCTGACTGAGGCTAATCTGAGAGGCTTGGGGTGCGGATTCAGTGGAATAAGGTACCAGCATGCCAGGTCTGCAGGTGCCAAAGAACCACCGCCGACTGCTGTGTTTACTGTTTCCTGTGTCGCGCAGGTGGTGGATTCTGTTAGTCCAGGGTAAGGGCCCATCGCCCAGAGGTGCCCCAGGCTAGGTGCACACCTGGGATCCCAGCGCTCCGGACGCTGAGGCAGGAGGATCGCTGTGAGCTCAGCGCCGGCCGGAGTTACACTAAGAGCTCAAGGCCAGCCGAGCCAGGTAGTCAGACCCTCTCTAGAAATGACAGAGAACAACATCCCATGGGCTTGGGACTGTGTGAGGCTCCCCCAGGGATGCTAGTGCAAAGTTTGTGGGGAAAATGAAATTTCAATACTCTTAGCTTTAGCCCTTAGGCAAAAAATGGGAGAGGGAAAAATATTAGAAGAACATAAATTTTGCCAGTAATGTTGGTGATATTTAAATAAGATTTAAATTCACCCAGCATTTAAACAGAAGAGAAGGAGCTGGGATTAGGCTCACATAAGTGTTGGATTATGCACCTGGAGTCAGAAATGCTAACTGTCTCCACGCCGGAGCAGCTCAGCTGACCCTGAAGGGGTCTGAAGGAGATCAGGAGCCCCCCTGCCCATCTGTGTGGAAAACCTCCCAGGGCTGCGGTGGCACAGGACACGACTCCTGGCTTATCTCCGGGGGGCACTGCCAGGGCACGTGGGGCCCCCGGTGACCCAGGAGCAGGCAAAGCCTTGAGTTCTGAATGTCTGAAGCTCTCTGCCCCAGGAAGCCCGAGGGCCCAGGGTCCGGCCTGACACCTCCAGGTGTCCTTCAGCATGGACGGAGGAGCCTCCAGGCTCAACCCAGACTCAGCACGTGAAGGTCCCACTTTGTGCACCTGGGCACTGAGGGTGGGGCCACGCCCTATGGGGAAGAAGAGTCTGGAGGGTCTCTGAGCCCAGGGAAGCCCCAAGAGAGGCTCATCAAGGAGCGGCTGCCCTCGCATATGTGACTACTGAGCTCGCACTGCCTCCCTCTGTCCCTCTCTGCCTGGCTCCAGCCCTCCCTGCCCAGCTCCAGTCCGGGTTCTCTTAGTCTCTTGGCTTCTCCGTCCTCAAGGCTCCTGGAGCCCCGCACTTGGACCCAGGCCCCCCTCAGGCCAGGGCTCCTTAGGGGGCACCGAGATCAGAGTCTCTCAGGGACTGAGTGGTTCTCAGAGCCATGCCAGCTGACACCCAGGCCTGACCACACCCACACAGGAGAGAGACCAAGCCCTGCAGTCTGAGCGAAACCACAAGTGTCACACAGAGAAAGGTGTCCCTCACCTCCGCCTGGGAAGGAAGCGTCGTCCCCAGAAGTGACGCCATTCCTAGGCCTGCAGTCCTGCCCAGCACCAAGCTGGCTGCAGGGAGGCAGGACCAGCTCACAGCAGCCTGGTAAGGACCAGGAGTCACAGGCGAGGGACTGACAGCCATGCCCGGGATCCTGCCTGCATGTGCAAGTCACCACACACAGGACACAGGGGTCACGGCACTTCAGCAGTGGACTGCTTCTTTTCAGTAGTTGATCTAAACAGCACCACAAGCACACGCATGCAGACACATGCATGGAGACACACACATGCACACACACACACACACACACACACACACACACACACCCTTCCCCAGGACCCAGGATTGCAGCGCCAACTTCTGGGCCTGGGCAGCTGCAGCCGTCTGGAAAGCACCCTGCGTGGACGTTGGTCTGCTTTGCCCTCCATGGCTGCCTTGTCTCCACTTAGTCTTGGGTTCTGTCACCTCCTCTCTTACTGCAGGGAAGGCGTTTAGGAAAAGAAAGGCACAGCTGGACCCAACCCCGCCCAGGACTCCAGCTTCCTTCCACCCTGGCTTCTTTCCTTTCTTCCCTCCCTCTCTTCCTCCCTCTCTCCCTCTATCTCTATCTATCCCCTTTTTCTTCCCGTCCTTCAGGAAGTCTCACCCTCTGTGCCACTTGGCTTTAGTGACAAAGGACTGGAGAGGAAACACCATGATCCCAGAGAGCCTGGCCTCACAGGGTGGGCTGTGGCCATGTGTTCTGGGGCCTCAGGGGCTGGTGGCACTGGTGTTATGATTAGCTCGAGGTGCCTGTGCCACCAAAGTGACACAGCTCCCCCTCATGCATGGGGCTGGGCCGCCCCCTCCTCTGCAGAGCTGATCCTCAGACCTAGCCTTGCTCCTTCCCTGCTGTCCCCGCCGCCCTTGACATGTGAGGCCCTCATCAGGAATGGCTCTCAGGGTGCAGCCACAGCCTGCTCGCCCAGCTCCACTTTCCCTTGGCCCCTCTGATGCACCCAGGAGTTTCCCTCTGTAAAAGACAGAAGCCAAGAGGGCACTAGCCAGGGTGGCACATGGGGACAGAGGCAGTGGCAGGACCTGGGTCAAGCACCCAGCCTTGTCCCGATGGAGTTGACCACAGGTCTGTGGGCCTCAACTTTACCACCTGTGAAGTGCAGGCAACTCTGGCCTCTCAGATGGTCTGGCCACTAATCCCAGTGACAGGGGTGTCATTCAGCTCTGTCAAGAGGAGCCCCACTTGCTCGATTAGGGCACACACACCCAGCATGCGAGGATCTTCTCCTATCTCAGAATGTCTCACTCAATCACTCAGAAAAGTGAGTGCATCCTGGACAAAACCTGAGTACTGCTGACAGGTGGCCTCACAAGGCAGGTGCCCTGCACCATGGTTACCACTCAGCCTTCATGAGGAAGGAAGCCCTGTCGTTCCTGGTGAGCCTGCATGTCACGCTGAGTGACATGAGCCAGCACTGAAGTGCAGCCACTTCGTGATCTCACTGATGTGAAGGCTAAAACCCTCAACATGTGGAAGCAGAGGGAGACATTGTTGCCAGGGCTGGGCAGGAGCTTGGGGTGACAGTCAGATGCAGGTTCCAGTTATGTCACATGCATAATCCTGAGGACCTAATTCACACCCCAGCAACTCTAGTTAGTAATGGCGTATTGTGTGCTTGCAATTTGTCAGCAGAATAGACTGTGAAATTTCTCACATCACACCACACAGACACACACACAGACACACACACACACACACACACACACACACACACAGAGAGGCACGTGCACAGAAAGGAGCTGGTGAGGATAAGGGCTGTGTGAACGTACTTGAACCTGGTGATCATTTATCATATAGATTCTACACACTATACATATATTTTTTTCATATATATATATATATATATATGTATATATATATATTTTTTCATATATATATATGAAATTTCCTTTACCAGTAGATTGTGGACCACTACAGCTGGGTACAAAAGACTCTCTATTCAGCTGCCTCTCCAGCTGGATACAAAAGGCCCTCGACTTGGCTGCCTCTTCAGCTGGGAATGAAAGGCCCTCGGCTCAGCTGCCTCTCCAGCTGGGTATAAAAGGCCCTGAACTCAGCTGCCTCTTCAGCTGGGTATGAAAGGCCCTTGACTCAGCTGCCTCTCCAGCTAGGTATAAAAGTTCCTCGATTTGGCTGGCTCCTCAGCTGGGTATAAAAGGTCCTCGACTCTGCCTCTGTGATGTCTAAGATGGTAGCTACTGCAGCCCCATCAGCTGTTCTCAAAGGCATTAACAATGTGTCTCCCCTACACTGGGGCTCAGTCCTCACTGCAGTAGGTCAAGAGCACAGTGGTTCTCCCCATTCTGCACCAGAGGATATGATGAGACTCAGCTGCCTCTCCCTCCACCCTTTGTAGGTATCCGACAGATGTGACTACATCTTTGTCAATGGGAAGGAAATGAAAGGCAAGGTCAATGTGGTGGTCACCTTCTCCTACCAGCACCTGGACAGCCCCCTGGAGATGACAGTGTGGGTGCCCCGCCTCCCGCTACAGATCGAGGTGTCGGACACAGAGCTCAACCAGATCAAGGGCTGGAGAGTCCCTATTGTTTCCAACAAAAGGTATGCCTCTGTATGGGGGAAACCACCATAGGAGCAGGGTGGGTGCGCTCCAAGGGCTGCGCATAGCCTGCATGCCCGAGCTGAGACTGGGCCGAGGATCCCCTGACATCTTTTGGCCAGAATGTCCCTCCCTCAGCTCTGGAGGCTGCATCCTGAGCAGACTTGTTCTCTCATCAGCCCCCCAGACTTCCACTCTTTCTTCTCTGTGGCTCCTGGTGAAAGTGTGTCCTCACTTTCCCAACACCTCCGAGAAACCCCCAACTTAAGTCTTGCCCTCGCTAGGTTGCACCCATCCCATACCTAATAGCATAGCCCAGCTGCAGTGCACTTGGGCTGCCCTGACCAAGGCTCCGGGCCCAGCTGCAGCCAGGAGGGCTGGTGGGGGGCTGGCTTGTGGGAAGGAGCCAGGAACAAATGTCCCTCAGAAAACACCAGGATGCAGTCTGCCTGAAAGTGTGGCCCTTCACACCCCTGGCCCAAAGGGCCTTAAACTCTTGGCCCTGGTGAAGTCAAATTGAAACCCTTTGATTCATCTTATATTTTTTTTGAGACCAGATCCCACTGTGTAGTTCAGGCTGGACTTGAACTTGCGGTGATCCTCATGCCTCAGCCTCCTGAGTGCCATCAAGCCCAGCAAAACCAAGTTTAGATCTCGTTTTCTGTTGTTCAGTGCAGACCCAGCCACCAAGCAGCCAACTGATTGCTAGCAAGGAAGCCATAGGCGCTCAGCCTGTCCCTCACAACTGTCACCTCAGGGAAACCAGGCACACACATCCATGCCCAGAGGACTCAGCAAGGATGCCAAGTTGGCGTGAGCTGAGCAGACACCAAAAGACACCTGTGGGCTGTGGACTTGGCTTCCCACTGAGGGGACCTGGACACTCTTTCCCTCTGCCCTGGGACCCCACTGCAGGAGGCCTGGAGGAGGTGGCCGTGGGTCCTCTGGACAGCCACAGAGCACCATGGTAGTGGCGCTTAAGCACAGGGCTGCCGGTGTCAGGCAGGGGAGTGGGGTAGGGAGCGAATCTCAGCCTGCAGGGAGAGACAGAGCCCTGGTCACCTCATCCAGAGGCTGCCTCGGCGTGAGACACAGCGTGAGCTTGTTCGAGGTGATGGCAGTGGAATCAGGCCACGGCACTCAGGGGAGACGCTGAGGGAGCGGCTGGCATCTGTCTACGTCCACCCTGGGCCCCTCCTGCCTGTCTCAGGTGAGGAGCCCAGCCTGGGGCCAGGGCCTCACTACTCCCTCTGCTGTTTGCAAGGCTTCACAGTCCACGTGACCTCGTCATCCTGGTCACCTCCTGCTGTGGGGTTTGGTGGCTTACACTTGAGTCTGCAAGTTGTCCTAAGCTGGGCACACCGGTGCCCTCCAGCGGTCCCAGCACTCTGGGAGGCTGATGCAGGAGGATCGCAAATGAGTCTAGCCTGGACAACCTAACAACTTCTTGAGACACTATGTCAAAACAAAATTAAATTAAATAAAAAGGAATGAAAACATCTCCATGCAAAAATCCTCAATTCAATCCCCTTGAAGAAAGTATCCAAAAATGCAGCATGGTACAGAATATCTGAGCACTGGACGCTCAGGCGAGTCGCACTGTTGGCACTCAGGGATAAATTCGCGGGCTTGGGGTTGCAGTTGGGGGCTTGGTCTCTGAAGGCTCTGCACCGCTGGCCTAGCAGGCCACTGCATTGTCCTACAGTTCTGTGGATCACAGAGTGGGCACAGACTGCGCGGCCTGGGCCTCCGCAGGTTGCTGCCCACCTGTGAGCAGGGTGGGTCCGTGCTGAGTATGCACTTGGCAGCCGCAGGGCAGCGTGGGACACGTGCTTCACGAGGGGGCTGCCGGGCCCAGCCAGAGAGAGAGAACACAAGCAATGCCGACGCCCCAGACTTGTTGCTTTGGTTGCTCTTGGAGACTGAGTGTTGCTAGGCAGTTCAGGACGGCTTTGATCTCGCAGCCACCTCCTGCCTCAGCTTCCTGAGTCCTGAGATTATAGGCCTGTGCCTCCACACCCTGCCATGTCACAGTCTTTAAAACCACATCCTGAAAGTGATCCTCGAGCCCTTCTATCAGATGTCCACGGACAGAACATCTCTAGGGACAGCTCACGCTGAAGAGTCACCCAGAGAGGAGGTGCGCAAGAGGGATGATGAGACCCTGCCACCCCCTGCCCCTCCTGGGTGGCCGGGCCTCCTCCTACTGTGGGCATAAGTACCCCCAGCCTCCCGTCTGACTGTGAGCCCCCAGAGGCAGTGCCTGGCCCATGCCCTCCCAGCCCCACATGTCTGTCCCACTGACCTGACTCTTTGACAGGCCAGTGCGGGACAGCGAGGAGGAGGAGGAGGAGGAGAGGCGGGGCCGTGGCTGCACGCTGCAGTTCCAGCGCGCCATGGTGCGGGTCCTGACGCAGTTCGTGGCTGAGGCGGCCAGCCCCGGAGGACAGCTGGCCCATCTGCTGGGTCCCGACTGGCAAGTGGACATCACAGAGCTGATAAGTGACTTCATGCAGGTGGAAGAGCCCAGGATCGCTCAGCTGCAAGGGGGACAAGTGCTGACCGGGCAGGAGCTGGGCATGACCACCATCCAGGTAGGATGCTGGAGGATGGCCTGCCTGGGCCCCCCCTCCAGAACCCCGCTGACCACACTGTCTTAGCACAGATGTTGTCCCAGGGTGGCCTTAATGGAACTGAACAAGAGTGAGGCAGAGATGCCACTGAGCCAAGGACCCCGCAGGTGTGACACGCGGGCCCCCACCTTGCTTGGCTACCCTGGGTCTCAGCTTCCTGGGAAATGAGCCCTGGGCAGCAGCTTCCCTCTGACCTTTCCTGCCCAGCTTCCGCCCCTTGTGACACTGCTGCCCCCTCGCTGATGGCCAGGACCTTGTTCTGGCTCGGCTGGTCTTGGGGTCAGTGCAGCAGGACTGGGACTACCCAGAGACTATGAAGCCAGCACCTTCCAGGAGCACTGGGCCGGGATTGCCACACCATGCCCACCGGGGGGCGAAGGGCTGTGCTGCCAGTGAGGGGGAAGAAGAGCTTCCGCCAGCTGGCCGTGGGGTCTAAATGGCTGTGCACAAGGGGCCTCTGGCTGACCCTGGATCTGATTCCAGTACGTCCACAACCAATCCCTCCAGAAAGTGGGCTGGTGTTGAGGAGAGGTCGTTTTATTCCGGGAGGGGGATCCCTGGCACAGACTCCATTAGCACTCAGCCTTGTGTCACGTGCGTGGCATTTCCACCCGGACTTTCTTCTTTTGACTAAGTTCCAGGCCTGCAGCCAGGTCATTGACCGAATTGGTCGCTACATGAGGACGCGGACCACGAGCGCACATCGCAGGGCTCAGAACAGAAGTGGCCAGAGGGAGCTCCAGCCTGGGGACTTTGTTTTGGCTGTTGCACCTCCCCTGTGGCTCTGTAGCAGGACTGAAAACCTCAGTACGTGGTGTACAGTACAGTCTGCAAAATGACAGCGCAGTGGACCCCCGAAATTCACGGGGCTGCTTTCCTGGAGCAGACAATTGCAAAACGCTGCTGGTGTCAGATATGGTTAGATAATGTCTAGGATCGCCTATTTTTATAATTTAAACCCTACATATGCCATGTCTTCCCCAGTTATGTATTTAATTTCATAAAATGTTTTATAATAAAGCCTTAGAAGGTGCAGGGCATTTTGGCGGCCTCTGGGGATCTTAAGGGCTTTAGGGAGAATAAAGCAAGACCCTGGGGACAGCTACACGCTGTACAGCAAGCTGCCACGATTCAGGGATGCCCCGGATGGGTTACCAGGCAGCAGCCAATCAACAGTGAGGAGAACTGAGCAATACTTGCCGATTGGCTAGTTACAAACGTAACACCAAAAACACAATTGAGGATACTTGCAGTTTAGGCAAAATGGTGGCGGTTTCTGGGAACAATTATTAGTTAAATTCTAAGAAAAAATCCATGAAAGACTGAGGCTGCGAACTCTAAAACGTAACTCCACACGGGGTTACTGTAGAAGCCACCCAAGACCACCCTGCCGCTCACGCTTCTTGCCCAGCGGCCCAAGCAGCAGGTCCTGGGTGTGAACGGAGCAGGCAGGTGGTCAGCGAGGCCTGTCTGGGTCTCCCACTGACAGCCTGCAGTGTGATTCTCTCCCCTGGTGCTGAGGACTGAACCCAGGGCCTGTGCACGGAGCTCCACCCAAGCAAATCCTGGAGCTCACACGCTCGGCAGGGTGGGCTGAGCTCGCAGCCCTCCTGCATCAGCCTCCTGAGGTGCAGGGATCTCGGGCATGGGCCACGGTGCGCAGACGTGGTGCGCCTCATGCGGTGTGGGTGCTGTGCACTTGTTATCCCTGGGGCCCCGCGACAAGAACGGAGGCTGCACCTGTCCAGCGTGGGGCCCACTCGGTTCCCAGGGCCTCTGATCACGCTGTGGATGGATTCCGCAGGCAGAGTGCAGGGCAGGCCTGGATGCGGATGGGGGCGCACACAGGCACGCGTGGCCAGGGAGCTGCAAGGTTCCTCTGGGAAGCTGGGCTGACCAGGACCTACAGGCAGGCCTTGGACCTGGGTCAGGGAACAGAGGGAGTAGTCTGGATGGGTGGGCCCACGCAAAGCGTGCGGTGTGGCCGCACACACCCATGGCCCCAGGAAAGCTGAAATGCTTTGTGTGCAAAATCTGGGCTTTAGAAAGAGTAGGGTCATTGACTACATCTTAAACCATCCTTTCCATTGAGCCAGGCCTGGTGACCCAGCACACGGGAGGCTGAGATCACAGGAGACACTCCTAGCTGGTCGCCTGATCAGCTCCTCGTGGGCATGTGTGGTGTGCACACGTGTGCAGGGTGTGCAGGAGAGAAGGGAGGCGGCGCTTTAGCAGCAGGCATAGAAGATGCACAAGAAGGTGCCAGGCATAACTGGATCGCAGCCCCCTGCCCCTCCCATGTGGAAAGGGAGACCCCAGTTAGGGAAGGGGTGTGTTCTATGGAGCATAGGTCAAGGAGGCTGCCTGGGGGTGCTGTCTGTGTATGAGAAAGGAAAGGTGAATACACAGCTTGGGTATAGAACCCAAATGCTTTGGGGATGTGAAGGCTTTTTAGAAGCAAATGATTTTAATAAAGTGGTTATGAGCAGACAGTGGTGTTTTAGAGGTGTGAAACGGACTACACAGGTAGTGTAGGGGGACACCAGCTCCTTGTCACGGAGGCAGGCACAGGGCATGTGGGGTCTGAGGGTGGACAAGAGTAGCACCGCCCTGTCCTCCGGCACATGCAGAATCCAGGAGGGTCTGGCGGGAGGGCCGGGCTCCAGCACGCCGCATGCTCGGCAGCAGCCCAGGGCAGCTGCGGGGACACAGAAAGCCTCTTTGTCCTGTTGCTTCTGCCCCCAGATCCTATCCCCTCTGTCGGACGCCATCCTAGCTGAGAAGACCATCACCGTGCTGGATGAAAAGGTGACCATCACAGACCTCGGGGTCCAGCTGGTGACGGGACTGTCCCTCTCCTTGCAGCTCAGCCCGGGAAGCAACAGAGCCATCTTCGCCACTGCAGTGGCCCAGGAGCTGCTGCAGAGGCCCAGACAGGTGAGGGCAGGGCCAGGGCGAGGGCACGCACTCTCGGCAGTGGACGTGGGCACAGGAGGATCTCACACACGCAGGCCACCTGCTGCTGCCTGGGGACTTATGGAGCAGCTGCTGGAGCCCTGGGGCTCCCAGCTCCCTGACCAGCGCAGGAAGGAGTTGCATAGCAGAAAATTACAGCCCCCAGGGGCAAGGCCTCACACCTGGCTGTCTTTGCCACACAGACACGCGGGTGGCGGCTCTGCCTGCCTCTGTCCATGTGGTCGTGGTAGATGCGCTGGGCTTCACTCAGCCATGGGAAGGCCTGGGGTGCTGAAGGGGACAGAGGAGGTGGTTCACACGCTGTTCACTATGGAGCTGCAGGGACACGGGCAGCCTGTGGTGACATCAGCACGAGTTTCCTTCTCTCTTTGAAAGAAGTGCTCAGCTTGTTTTGTGTGTCTGGGCATGTACTGTATGTCCTTGTGTTTGTGTGTGCTGTATTTCTCATGCATCTGAGTGCCCAAGTCTCTAAGCACGGTGCTGTCTTGTGGCAGTAATGTCTCATGACAGTTGTGTGTGTTTGTAGTGTATATGCCTGGGTGTGTGGATGTGCTTGTGTGGACATGTGTGATATGTGCCATGTGGGTATGGATCACAAGGTGACTGTAAGGGGGGCATCTGCAGATGGAATAGTCTGCCTTTCTCTTCAGCTATAGGCAGACAGACAGACAGACAGACAGACAGACAGACAGACAGACAGACGATGCTGAATTGTGAACACAGAGCTCTGGGGACCGTGTCTTCCCACAGGGACAGTGGCCATCAGCTGCTACATCAGAGACACTCTCCACAGACTGGGCTGGCCTCCCCCTCCCTGGGGAGCCCTTCCTGCCCGCCTGCTGCCCTGGAGACCTGGAGACCACACTGTGCCTGACAGGAAGGGGAGCCCAGCCAGAGTCGGGGGCTACCACAAGCCACCCCTCTGCAGCCTGTGCAGTTCACCAGGTTATGGGCAGATGCATCCCAGCCCTCAGCCCTCACTGGGCCTTAGTGAAGCCAGGTGCTGCTGGATGGGGGCTGTGGCAGCAAAGGAGAAATCACCTCGGGCTTCTTTCTGTGCGGACACGGACAGAACCAGGTGGCCAGCAGTCAGGAACACAGGGAGGGACAGGGCCAGCTGGGACCAGGCCGTGCAGCGGATCCTTGCCCCAAGCCTGGGCTGGCAGGTGGCAGCTTGGGCAGCCTCAGTCCCCATGGACAGCTGACTCTGCCCCGGAGACGTGGGATGCTGCCAGGATTGTAGAGATGACCAGAAGAACCTGGAAACCCGGCTGCATGCAGGAGTTCCGGGCAGCAGGCAGTCCTGGTCGGCACTGACAGTGCCCTTCCAAAGGCTGAGCTACAGCAGCAGGAAACCAGCTTGCGTGTGTTCAGGGCAGGCCATGGTGGTGCACTTGGAAGGCTGAGGCGGGAGGATCACTGTGAGTTTTAGGCCAGCCTGGTCTACATAGTGAGTTCAAGGCCATCCTGAACTGCATACTAAAACCCTGTCTCAAAAAACCAAAAAAGTAGAGAGAGACAGCAAACAAGCTTACACAGCACGGATGCCATGGGAGCAGGTGGGGCGCTGCAAACCCAGTGTGAGCCCCGCGGTCTCTGCCCACCTGCTCCTTCCTGCCCCGCGATTTGGGCTGGTCTTGTTTCCTGTCTTCTTGTGCACCAAACATCCACCCATACAAGAGCTGATCCAAAAACACAATGTGTGTTTCAATTTGAAAACCTATCGCATCCAGAAACGCACTGCCACGGTGGCCCCCTCAGAATGCCCCTCGCTGGTGGCACGCTCAGCCCACCAGCCCCACCACCTTCTGCAGTAGCTCCGCCAGGCTCTCTCAGGAGGTTGCGACCAAGTGTGATGAAAGCCACGTGAGTGGCTGCCAAGCACGGCCCAGTGGACGCCTAGGCTCCGTAGGCCGCTGTGTGCTCGCCCTCCCAGGTCCCCAGACCTGGCACTGAGCGGTGACTTCCGGCTGGCTCTCACCAACTAAAAATGACCATGGAAGGGAAACTCTTGAATTGACTGAGGACTTCAAAGCAGCCATGACGGCATAGCCAAACTCACTCTGGGGAGAGGACCCCGGAGCTGCTGCAGAAAGGGGTGAGGATGAGGGAATGGGTGGGTTCAGAGTGAGGGGGGTTATTTTGAGTGCAGTTCCTGGCAGTGCCTTTTACTTTAAAATTTTAGATGACTTAACCGTCCTAATTGTCCATCTTACTCATTTGTGCCCAGCTCTGATGCAGGCCTTCACCCCCAGCTCAGGGCTGCCTGTGTCTTTCTCCTTTGAAACTCAGAAGAGAGGGGCAGGTAGGAGGGATAGACCACTCAGGGCCACAAGACTTTGGCTCCCACAGCAGTCATGTCCATTTTCCCTGGGCCTGGGGTCAAGGCCACACACCCCCAGGCTCTGGTCCTCCTGGGCATGTGCAGGGCAGCGACCACTGTCAAAGGTGCCGACATCGTCACTGAGAAAACAAGCTGGCATGGAGCAGCAGGCTGGCTCACTGACGCCCTGCCTGCTGCTGTTCGTGAAGCAAGCTGACTAAACAAAGTGAAGGCTCGGGGTTGGGGTGTGCAGTCACACAGAGCATGACCCAGGGGCCCCGGGGGCCCCCTGCTCTGCCCATGGTCAGGTGGCAGAGGGCAACCTCGCCCAGCAGGCCTGGTGTCCCCAGGTGTGTCCATGCTACTCCTGCTGACTGGGCGAGGGGGCGGTCCAGCCAAGCCTGCAGCTCCCCTGGGGGTGCAGTCTTTGTCCTACGACCTGTTGTGTCGTGATCCGTGAGTGCAGATGCGGCATTGGGGCATCGTGAAGACAGTGCTTGGAACGTTCTTCACTCACGAGCCACGCAAATGGCCCAGGCTGCAGCAGCGGCCTCTGCCGGGCGGGGTGTGGCCGTGTGGAGGCAGGTTCTGGGCCGCCCTGGGCTTTCTTCCAACACCTGCGGGGAAAATCAGCCACAGGCACTTCACACCGCCCAGGTTTGAGTCCCTTTGGGGCAGGCTGGGCGTTGCAGGTTTGGGGTCCCCCTGACATACCCCAGCGAGCACTCAGATCCAGCTCTGCCTTGTTTAAAGATTCTGCAGCCCGAGCTCACCACCCTCTTCTCCTCCACAGGAAGCAGCCATCAGCTGCTGGGTGCAGTTCAGTGATGGCTCCGTCACACCCCTGGACATCTACGACGGGCAGGACTTCTCCCTGGTGGCCACGTCCTTGGACGAGAAGGTGGTCTCCATCCACCGGGACCCCAGGCTCCAGTGGCCGGTCCTCGCCGCTGAGACAGAAGGCCGGGGCGCGCTAGTCAAGGTGGAGATGGCCATCAGCGACACATGCCAGAAGTCCAAGCGCAAGAGCGTGCTGGCCGTCGGGACGGCAGATGTCAGGGTGAAATTTGGCCAAAATGATGCCAACCCCAACACCAGTGACATCCAGCAGGCTGAGGCAGCAGGTCACCTGGAAAATGGCATCGGTGACAGGAGGTCCACCAAGCCCCTGCCAGAGTGGGGGGCCCCGGAAGGGCGGTTCCGCAGCAGCTCGTCCTCCGTGGGGCTCAGGGAAGGCGGGGGCGGCACCACGCAGAGGCCGACCCCGCCTCGGAAGCAGGGCCAGGGCGGTGGGCTGGAGGACGGCGGCCACCTGCAGACCATCGCGGTGGACCTCACCAGCTTCCCCGAGGCCAACGGCCCCAGGAGCGACGCCGAGGTGGAGGAGGGCGACTCCGCGCAGGCGCCCAAGGGCCTCAGCGACCTGGAGATCGGGATGTACGCGCTGCTGGGCGTCTTCTGCCTGGCCATAGTGGTCTTCCTGATCAACTGCGTGACCTTTGTGCTGAAGTACAGGCACAAGCAGGTCCCCTTCGAGGAGCAGGAGGGGCTGAGCCGCTCCCACGACTGGGTGGGGCTGAGCCACCGGACAGAGCTGCTGGATACCCAGGCGGCCTTCGCCTCCTGTCCCGAGGAGCAGGTCACCGCCATCGGCCGGGGTGTGGACTTCGAGGAGAGTAAGTACCTGCTCCTGGGCACGGACCCCCAGCCCGGCCCCAACGGGCAGCTGTTCCCACCAGCGGGAACCGCACTCTCGGAGGGCAAGGGGCAGCGGAGCGAGCCCCCCGTATCCCCTACCTCGAAAAGGAAAAGAGTGACGTTTACCACCTTCACAGCCATCACCCCAGAGGACGGGGGCCCGGCCGAGAGCGCAGTTGCCATGAACAGGGAGGACGACATCAAGTGGGTCTGCCAGGACCTGGACCCCGGGGACCGCCCGGAGCCACACGGGTACTTGGAGCGGCTGCACGAGAAGGTGTGAGCCGGCTGAGCTCGGTTCTCATTCTCCTTTTGGCCTTTAATTTGGGCTCCTGTGGCTGCTGTGGTGTCTGGGGCAGGAGGGGGTGACACTGGCACTCAAGAAAGTGCCACCTGCAGGGCGTCACCACCCCCGCCCCAGAGGAGGCCTCTCCTCCATGTGACGAGGCTGATCGCGCACGGCGAGATTTAAAACTGAGCCAAAGTGAGTTCCTGGGGAACGAGTTTCTCCCTCCGTCTTTAATCAAAGAAATTTGGATTTTGTAAAATCCATGCGGCTCCAACACTGAGGGTTACACCTAGGGAGACCGAGCAGGTCAAGCGCGGCCGAGTGCGTGGGAGGGAGGGCGAGTAAGTCCGTGCAGTCAGCTCCGGTCCGGCCTCGCGAAGACCAGTCAAAGCTGGCCCAGGGAATGGCGGATGAAGGACCTGGAGGGGACCATCGCCATCCGTATAACCGCAGCGCAAGCTGTTCTAAGCAAGCCTGGGCAGGCTCTTTTTGTAAACCGAGGTACCTGAGGGGTGTCTGCGGCAGGTTTGATGAACTGAGCCCTCTTCCGCAGGCCCGTCCTGCAGATCCTCACGGCGACGCCCCCCCTTCCAGAGCCGCGGGTCCTGGGGTGGCAGTGCGCAGCGTGCGCCGGGCCTCTCTATTCCCCCGGCTCCGTGCTATCTCCAGGGGTCGACCCTCGGGAAAAGGAACATCAGCGAGGGGACACTCAGTGCTGGGCTAGCCGGCGCGGGACGCTGGACGGGTCCGGCCCCTCTTCTCTGTGGCTGGTGACCTCCTCCTCCTCCTCCTTGGGCCGCCGCTCTTCCTGTCTCCGCCAACTCCCTTTTCTGTCTCTGCGCCTGTCTCTCTGCTTCACTCGCTCCCGGTGCCTTTCTCTTTCTTGGTCTCCATTTTCCTCCTCCTCCGCCTCCTCCTCCTCCTCCTCCTCGGTGCTCCTCCTCTTCTAGTTCTTCTTCCTCTCCCTCCTCTCCTTCCCTCCTCCTTCTGTCCCTCTCTCCATCCCCACTCAGTGGCTGGTGACAGTGACCACGTCCCCAGGGACCCATGGGAGCTGCCCACCTGCCCGCTAGCCCTCCTCTCCCCTCCAGCCTGGAGCTGCTGGGCCCTGAGAGCCACCTGCCTGTCCCTGGGCCCCCAGGTCTCCTCTGCTCTCCACGGCAGCCTCCCCTGCTCCTCCTCCTGCTCCTCTCCATTCTCAGAGTGACATTCTTGCCGCTAGACACTGCCCGCCAGGGCCGCCGACACCCGTGCGAGCCGACTGTGTGCAGAGTGCAATATGTATTTACAACTGCCCCGCTGCCGGATATAAACTTGCGCTCGGGCCTGTGTGCTGTCCTCTGTCTCCTGCAGGCTGCGTCCGCCCTGCCCCACTCGGCTTCGGGTCCCGAACCTGTAGATCTCAGGGTCCTGGTCCAGCCCCATCACACCGTGGGCACATATGCTATGCTCTCTGCATCAAGGGAGGTGACACACGGTGACAAAACTGGGTTGACACTCCTTCAGGATCTGGAGGGTCTGCCCATGAATCACACGTGTGGTCGCCCCTGAAAGCTGCTGGGGCTGGGACAGCCAGGTGGCAGGCAAGGTGCTGGCCTCCCCGGGGCCCCACGATCCACGCGGCCCTGAGGTGAAGCATGTGGAGAGGAGCTTCAGGGACACGTGTGCCTAGCAGGGCAGCAGCAACCCTGACAGGTGCCTCCTTCACTCAGGGGCCGGGGTGGCTGCAGTCGAGGCCGAGCAGTGGGTAGCGCCCTGGGCCACGTGGCCCTTTCTCATTATGGGAGGGATGGGTGGTCCACAAAGCCATTCTCAGACGCCCTGAGCTTTGCAGACAGCTATGCAGCAGGTGCAGGGTGCAGAGAGCCAGCCAGCATTTAGACTCACGACCATTTCACCCAGCGCGGTGGTGTTACTGCGGGGTCCACACCCCCACCCCCCCTCCATTTTCACAATTAGAATGCACCTTCCAGTCATCCCAGTGTCCCACTGCCCACAGAGGGGAGAGCTTCTGGCGTCTCTACCCCACAGGAACAACAGCTACAGGGGGTGGCACTTCCGGACAGGTGGTACAGAGCTTGCTGCTCAAAGGCAGCTCTGTCCTACAAATGTGGTGTCCAGGGCATCCTTACGCAAGATGTGTGACCAGAAATTGACGGCACCAGCACCAAGTCACAGGACCCAGCCCCACAGGGCGCCTTTCTCACCAGGAATAGGACCACCTCTCTGCCCTGCTCACTGCTGGCCCTCCTGCAGTCTCCGGGGTCCCCAGGGCCAGCCTCAGCGTCCCAGTGAGGATGCGCCTGCTCAGTGCCTCTCAGTCTTCTCCATGCTTCAGGCTGCAGGGACTTGGCTATAACAGGGTAACAAGTGGTGATTTGAACAGCACCCGCTTTTCACCTCGCAGAATGCAGACTGGAAGTCTGAGAGGGAGGCGTGAGCAGTCGCTGTACCTCGGAACCTGGAAAGTTGCTCGCTGGGCCCTGGGACCCTGGTCTTGTGCAAAGGTCACCTGCGTCTACCCCTATCTCCATGTGACACCTTCCCTGTGTGTCTATGTCAAAAGTCCCCCTTCCGAGAATGGCAGTGCGCTGGGACTGCGCCCTCCACTGCAGAGCCAGCTCACCACTTCTCCCTGAGGTTGGGGGTGTGTGCACTGCGGCATCTCTGCGTGAACACGTGATACCAGCCCTCTGCCTGGAGGACCTGGGCGCCTGGCTGCTATGGGACCTGGCTGGGCCCCAGCCTTCTGCTAGGATCAGGCCACCAATGCCACCATCCCTGTGTCACATCTGCAGATGAGGAGCAGAGTCCTGCACATCCAGGCAGCGCATCAGCCTCCTGGTGGCCACAGCAGGCACCACCTTGTGGCTTCAGCTGAGTCTCAACTCCAAGGGAGGCCACTTGGCTCCTTCTGAGGCTGGGAGGGGCAAAGAACACACACACACACCTCTCCCACCCCCCAGAGGTCCTGGCCATGCCCATGGTGGGCATCCTGTGACTTATGCATGGTCACTACTTCTGCTCCGCCCTCTTCCTCCTGACCTCCCCCTGCATGGCTGTGTCCACACTCTTCATTTTCTCCTAAGGACACTTGTCTCACTGGATTAGGGACCCTCCAATTCCTGATGACCTCATCTCACCTTGGTTATATCTGCCAAGACCCTGTTTCCATATAAAGGCAAATTCACAGGTGCATGGGATCAGGACTCCAACTTTTTTTTTTTTTTTTAAGGAAAGTACAGTTCTGACCATCCCAAAGAATCCCAAGGAAGTCACTGAGAAAGAAGAAGCCCCATCCAGCTATTAATCTTTTCATTGCAAGGGTCTAAAAATAATAAGTGCCCTGGTCCAATCTCTTTTCTTTCTGTACCCTGTGACAGAGCTGTCCTTATCAGGAGCCAGCAAGCAACAAATCTTGGTTTTTGTAAATGACTGGAGTTGGAGGTTTGGATGGGTGGGTGGGTGGGTGGGTGGGTGGGTAGGTGGGTTGGGGGGTGAATGAATGGATGGATTGGTGGGTTGGTAGATGGGTAGATGGATGGATGGATGGGTGGGTGGATGGATGGATGGATGGATGGATGGATGGATGGATGGATGGATGGATGGATGGATTGG